GGGAAGAAAGGATGGAAAGTAGGAGGGAGGAGCTCCTTTCTGTCCGTATCTAATTAGCTATTGTTTAAATCTCATTTTGTTCGCAAAACTTTTGTGCAAAACCCCTTTTTGATTTTTAAACTAAAAAAAATTAATTTGATTTTGTTTCTTTAAAAATCCTCAAGTGATTTTACACATGCAAAATTTAGATACGAGCGTGTCACTTAACTTTCTAAAAAAAGCAAGAAATGAGGATTTTCCTAATGACCCTCTTCTTTCACGTGGTTGATCTCTGTTAGGATGGCTGAAAGAATATTGCTTTAAGATTGAGTTCTGCACCTTCAAACGATTTGCAAGAGGGAGCAATGCTTTTTTAAGGAATGAATTACTAATCTGCTTTAGACAATCCTAAAGACTTTACCAATATTGTGAATTTAAAGTTAACAGATCTTAAATGAATTGAATGAAATGTAAATAAGAGTAAACTTGATGTTCATTGCACCAAAAGAAATTGAAGAAGTGATTGCATGAATTAATTAGGCTATTTGAATACTGAAAACAACCTAAATCTATTGAAATTTGTGTTGAAAACTAAAATATGTAAGCTAAAGTAGTGAGTAATCGCTGAGAAATTAAAAATCTAAAAATTTGTTATGTGTAAAACTGGCCGTCGTGTCTTGAATAATTTGAAATTTTCTTTTTATATGCTTTCTGTGATCTGTCCTCTAGTTTCACTTACTGGCTGTTACAGATCATGGATAACTTCCCAAAGAAAATAAACACATCAACAAGATTAGGTTAAGGCTGCATTAGATTTTGCCATTTGTACTATTCTACTATTACCTCAACCCCTTAACTGCATTTTCTCTTACATTATAGGAATTTTCATTTCTTTTGAATTTAAACTACAACCTACTAGATAATCTTTACCATTCCCCAAAATCAATTTTTACATATCTAAATCTCAACAGTAAATCTGATATGACCTCACTTTATCTATTAACATATGGTATCACTTAAAAAATAACAATTTAAGACGTAAACAGGTTCCTAAAGTTTTATATATATATTGCGCTTATTAATCATTTCATTTAAGACGTAAACAAATTCTTAAAGTTTAATATATATATTGCTCTTATTAATCATTTCATTGAGTTTTTGCTTACATGATATATAATTAATAACAGCTTAAACTGTCCTTTTGTTTAAATTAATGATGTTAAAATTCTACAAAGTTTAGTTATGTGGACAAAATTTGTTGTTACCATTGACTTTAATTACAAAATTGCCATTAATAATAGTTAAATTGAAATTATATTGAATATTCAAAATTACCTAATACTCCTTGTTTTGTTCCCCAAAACTTATCCTTCCTCATCCGCCCATCCCAAACCCAATTTCCCTCTTCTCCAAGCTCCTCCATCATAGTCCACAAATTCTCACACTGATTTGCTCTAATTCTTATATCTCCAAGTCAAAAACAAATCATTGTCTTTCAACAGAAACTTGTTTGGCCTCATTACAAGAAAAGAAATAATAAAATTTTTCCAAGAACCCATCAAAGTTTCCTTCGATTCTTTCGCCTTTAGAAATTAGAGCTAGTGGTGTGCAATTTTGGAAGAATCTAGACAGAGAACTGCGATGGGAGTCCTAGAAATATTTTGATAACTGCCTCTAAAACAGTTGTTAGTCCCTGAAAATGAAAGCAGCAAACTCACCGTCCGTCTTCTCTCTTTCTTTGCGGATTTCAAACATTAGATTGAGAGCAGCAATTGCAGATTTCATAGTGCAGTTTCCTTTTGGAGCTGATCGTATATTAGCTTCTAATATAGTTGCTTCAGTTTTGGATCTTTAAGTTCTGAATGCGAACAGTGAAGACCCAGATCCAGCACTGTCTCCAACTCTGCTACAAAATATGTTGATAGAATCCCACATGGGAAGTGAGTATGCAGTTAAGGTACTCTATACATTGTGTTCCGTGTTGCTACTTAATGATTTTTTAAATTATTAAATTGTTCAAACAAATCCTTCATGACCGTATTTTGACTACGAAGTACTGCCGTGTAGTTGGTGTCCGTAGAATTTAGTATGTTTGAATAATCCAAAAGAGTTGATGGGCCTACTTGTGAACTTAATACGTTTGAATAATCCAAAAGAGTTGATGGCCCTACTTTTCTTTTACTTTGTGTCTGTAGAACTTAATATGTTTGAATAATCCAAAAGAGTTGATGGCCCTACCCCTACCGGGCCTATCTCAAGTAAAAAGTGTGGAAGAATCTATCTTTAGTGTCCACTACAAACCTCTTTAAAGTGCTCAATGTATATAAGTTGTTTGTACCAATTTTGATGGTTAAAAATAATTCGGATTTTAATTTATATTTAAAATTTAAAATTTTATTATATATTTTAATATATTAATATTTAATAAAATAATTTTTAAATTTTAAT